AGGCTGTTACCAATGCCTATATGTGAAATAATCCAGATCTTCATTGTTATTATCGTGATTAGCTAATTTGACTTGGGGCTTTCTGTTAGTTGGCCCTAAAGCACCCTCTAATAGAGGTGCTCTCACTAAATGCTCCTTGCGTGCCCCCCAGTGTGCCTGTCAGCGTGCCCACCTCTGCACCAAGTGGCTGGAACCATCTCCCAGCTCACGACAACGACTCCGCCTGCAGGCCCTGTGGCTGTTCCACTGTCACGTCACTTGCCCACTGGTCAGGTATGGAGGGCGGGAGGCAAGGTGGCTATGTGGGGCCTGATGGACCAGTAAGGGTGACTGAAATGTTTCACAGTCACACAGCCTTGGTCTTGCAGGATGGAGCACATAAGGATGGAGACACACTTGCCTTTGGAGGGTTGGGAATCATAGAAAGCAAATGACTTGCCTGTTTGGCCTTCTCGCCTGGTCGTCCTCATCAAACTTGACTGCTTTCTAGAAGCTGATCTGCAACACACTCCGGATACTGCTTTGGCCCAACTTCCTTGTTAGGCGACCTTGGGAAAAGGCCTAGAGATGGTAGGACCCCAGGTCCTGGAGTGCCCCCGTGTGGCTGGATTTGGGGACAGTCGGCGGGGAAGGAAAGACTTTCCCTGGCAATCATTAGCAGAGGTGCAGCTGGGGGCCATTTTGTCAAGAAGTGCTCATTTGAAAAACAACAACAAAACTCACACAGGCGCCTGCCAGTCACCCCCATGATGAAATGCAACCAAGGAAGCAATTAAATTCAATTAGGGGCATTTGGCTTTAAATTAGATAATGCATTCAGAAAACAGTCTGTAAACTGTAATGTGTTCCCCTTACTCCTGTGAAATTGCCTGGGCTGCTGCTTCTGCCTCTGCCAATTAGAGGCCTGGGGATGGAGAGCAAAGAGGGCAGCAGAGGCTAAAGAGTCACACTCCCCAGAAAAACCAATTTTTGCTAAGGGCTGGACCCTGACTGACGGAGCAGGGCGTTGGGCCTGGGCTGCAGAGCTGCCTTACCCATGTGCAGAATCTGCTGTTCATAATTTCTTTTCTTCCTAACGCAGCCTGTAATTTCCAGGGGGCCAGTGCCTCTTCGTTTTCACTGATAGAACAAACAAAATCTTGACCACGGAGAAGCCTAATTCTACTCACCGTGCAAAATTGCCTTCTTAAAAGGCTTAAAGGGGGCACTTAGAGCATGGTGAAAGCCAAGCCCCCCAGCCGCACGTGGCTGCAAAGCGCCCCTCACCCGCCCCCAGTGTGAGCAAGTTAGACTGGCACATTTCCCTCAGGGCAGTAGGAGAGGTGACGTTGTGTTTTAAGGCTTCAGATGAAGCTGGGACTATCTGACAGAAGAAATGACCCTGTCAAATCCTGGCTGCACAGATCTGCTCTTTTGCTAGCTCTTTGAGAAGGATCCAGAGGGACATGTTCTGGCCTCTTGGAATCTAATTTAATGGGACCCCAGCACATCTGGACTCCTTGCAAACAGTAAGGGCAGGAGAGAGAGAGAGAGAGAGAGAGAGAGAGAGAGAGAGAGAGAGAGAGAGAAGGAGAGGGGGAGAGGGAGGGAGCCTGTGTGGGAGAGACAGACAGACTGTGCTTAAATCCCTGACAACATGCTTGAAGAAAAGGGGTACAAACAACCAACTTCCCTGCTCTCTTTTCTCCCCTCCGCTGCAGTTCCTGGCGGGTTGCTTGTTCCCCAAGGTGGTGGATTCAAAGGGGCCTCCTGGGCTGCTGGGAACAGCTGCTTTTTTGAATAATTCTTCTATGGATATCAGTCAAAAGTCACCGTTAGCTGGAACTGGAAAGCAGAGCGAGTGTGTGTGTGTGTGTGTGTGTGTGCGCATGTATGTGTTTGTGCATGTGAGAGTGTGTGCGTTCCTGTGGGTGTGCGCGCATGGTGGCAGCCATTTCAGGTCACCAGCGCCGTTCCTGGAAAGGCCACATCTTCTTGGCATGGGAGAAGATACACTTCCCTGTGCACCTAAAAATAAACCAGTACAGAAGTCAATGAATCACCCTCATCGAGAGGCACCTTTGCCCTCCCGCGGGCTGTGGCCCTGTTTCCCGGAGGGCAGGCTGCAGTGACAAGCTGTGGCCACTTGGGCTCTGCCTCTGTCCCCTTTGGGGATACAGCTGGGCTGGGCATTGGTGGAATCAGTCCTTCACTGAATCCTAATCCTTCTGTGTCCTCAGGGTTCCCCTGAGCTCCCCTGCAGAATTTCTGCCCTTTTGTACCCTAGGAGTGGAGATTAGTGTTGTTGTAAATGCGGCAGGAATGGGGAGGCAACTGAAGACAAGAAGCGAGTGCGGGGAGCCAGAGACCAGGACAGGACACACACAACAGAGTGGAGTGGAAACTCGCCCTTTCCACAACAGCTGGATTTAGGGTCCCCCAATAAGGCATTTTTTGAGTTCTCCGTGGTTTACATGTTCTTGCCTTAAAAAAAAATTTTTTTTTCATTAAAAGATTTTTCTTTTCTTTGGCCCTGGAGGAGAGCACACCAGTTATAAAAAACAAAAAACAAAAACATCTGCCATGCTTCATGGAGTCTCATCAAAGAATGCTTTTTTTTTTTTTCCCCTGTTTTGTTTTGTTTCTGGGAGGTATAGAGGGAGGGTCAGTCTGCATCAGTGACCCAGCCTGGCCACTCACTCTTCCCGTCCCCACCTCCTGCTGGGGACATTTCTCATCTAGGCAAAAAGCCTCCTGTGCCCAGCGAGGTGAAACTTGCAAATGATACTGTCACCTTCCTCAATGGACAGCCGCCAGCAGCTCACCAAAGGTCACAGCAGGCGAACCCCCAGGGGCTTGGGGACAAAGGAGCCGTCAGCTGCCTGATTTCCGGGATCCATCCCCTGTTCTCAGATGGCCACAGCAGAGGGACGTCTCCCCACAGGCTTCCCCGAGGGGTCCTTCCTGCTTTGTGCAAGCAGCACTGAGACTGGGGTGGCCTGAGAGCTATCAACAGCGTGAAGCGAGGACATCAGTCATCTCCAGGTCTGGTCAGGACCGAAGAAACCAATCCAGCTTGAAGCAGGCGGCCTCTGGTCTCTCCTTGCACCTAGAGTCTCCATAGGCGCTGGCAGGTCCCACAGCAAACCCTCCACTCAAGTTTGGGTGCTGGGAGAGATGTGACTTGGGGACATGTCTCAAGAAGCCAGCTTGCCAAAGGCCGTGGCCCCATGCGGTGATCCATGTAGGGAGACCTCAGTTCTGATCAGTGTGGGGTGGATCTGGAGAGCCAGGGAGTGCGCGTGGGTCTGCGTGCACCGCGTATGCTCCACCCCTACACATTTCTGTTTGTAAACATGAGTGTGCAAGTGTACAGAGGTGGGCATAAATACATTTCTGGACATACATGTGTAACTGCGGTGGACACTGCCCACGCACACAACCTCCGGTTGCTTAGGGTCCCAAGCTCTCAGATGGATGGGAGCAGCTCGCTGACCCTGCCACCTCCCAGGACAGCTGTGGCTCACTTCCAGGGGCCCAGGGCTGGCCTCTTGCCTCAGGCTGGAATGAACCATGTAGTGCAATTTTCAGGCCAACAGAGACCCTCTTTCCCTCTGCCCACTCTCAATATATCACAAGCATTTGAATCCCTGTCTTGAGCTCTGCTCTCAGCATCCTGGCCTAAGACAGCATTGTATTAGCACTGTGCATATGCTAATACCAGGCACACACACGTGTGTGTGCGTGCGTGTGTGCTCTCCATGCGCACCCACACATGAGGAAATCCAGGAGGATCGGAGGGGAGAGAATTATCTTCCAAAGATTCCAAAAGGATCTTCCAAAGAGGAAGAACATTGATTTTTTCACTGGGGAAGGTCAAGCCACGTCAAACAGAGTAGGAACACCTTGCTTTAAAAGTTGAACATCAAAGGATACTTTAGAAATAAAAGAATTTTTTATTAAATCAGAAAAAGAAAGATACAGTATACATGACTGTCAGTCAATCCTATGCTGCTGTGAATTACATTGTAACAGACTCATCGCCCTGTTTAGTCCTCTCTACAAGGATTAAAAAAAAAAAAAACTTCAGGTATTTGAGTAACATTCTGTAAATTTTTATTAACTGGGGTTATGGGGAGGGTTTTATGAGAGCACATCCTGAGAACATTAGGAAATTACAGACAGACTTGAGATAAGCGTCAGACGGAACAGATGAAGCAAGCCCCCCAGCCATCTGAGAGACATTAATAATGTAAGCTTCGCGAGACCAGATCCTTGTTAGGGATGCGGGATGCAGAATAAAAAGGGGGAGACCTTGGCGCCCCCTTGTGTTGCAAGACAAACGTGCAACCTCCTGTATTGTATTTTTGTTTTCTGAAGCTGTGATCCTTTTCCTTGTCCCTGAGCCTAAAGAACAATTGTCCCAAATCGTTTCAAGCCCTCTCCAGTCAATCGTTTCCCTCCTGTCAATAACTCTCAAGGGCCCTATTTGAAAACCTACTCTTATTCATTCCTTTCTCATACCCCACACATTCCATTTCAGGAAATTGGCAACCGCCCAACACAGAGCCCGTGCTCTCCCTCCTTCAAGTGTGAACTTAAACAAACGGATCTTCCCCCCTCCCCTCTTCAAACTTAGAGGAGGAGCATGCATTTGCTACAATGCCTTTTCCCCCTGTCGCAGGCAATTTTCTTCTGCAGCTTCCTTGTTATCCATCTTTCATAGCTTAACACAAATGCATCCCCCCACCTCCTTCCTCCCTGGCTCAGCAGTCAACTCTCTTGACCTAAGGATTCAATCTGCGGACCCATGCTTACAGTTATTTGCTAGGAAAGACTGGACCAGAGAGATAAATAATACACCTCAATATACAACAGCTCAGGCTTAATTTGTAGGCAAAATTTCATTTGATGGCCATGAGAAGAAAAAAAATATATATACAGAGTGTGTTTAGGGAGGAGATAGAGTGGGGAGAAAACATCCTGGTGGTGGGAGACCCTGGTGGGGACTGTGGTGATGTTTACTTGGATTTGCCAACTGGTCCGATGGATACTGGGTCTGTCTGCACTTGAGCATCTGACATCCGCTTTGGTCCCTGGAAAAAACACAAAGAAGGGGTAGCCCATTGAAGATGGGTAACAGCAACAGCAAAAATCACCTTTTGGTGAGCACTTACTCCATGCTAGGTGCCATGCTAAGTCAATGTATCTTAGTCCTGAGTGTTGGATAGGAGAACGGTCTCCAATCAGATGTCCAGATTCACTGCCCAGCTATATTACCTTCTACCTTTGCCAGATCTTGGACAAATTACAAATTTATCATTACAAATGATAAAACTATTCCTAGAGGCTTGTTCCCAACACAAAGCGAGTTTATATTTATAATGCAGTTAGAACAGTCCCTGGGGTGTACAATTCAGCTGTCCCTTTCGCAATCCCTGTCTTATTCACTCATAAGCCAACCCGGTTTTATTTTATTGGAAGTGAGCTTCTCATCTGTCTTGTTAGACTCACACCTGCCTTCTGACAGGGTGCAAGCTCCGTGGATTCTGTCTGCTGTGTCCTCGGTGCTTTGAAAGGACCTGGCACACCGTGGCTGCTCCTGAAGGGTGAAGGCTGAGGGCACCTGCCATTGCCACTGTGGTTATTGCTGTTCTATCTGTTCTGTCCAGTAGAACTTATGAAACTAGCCCTTTCTGTCTGTAATTCTATAAGCGTGGACCAACACGTGACCAGGTCACATTAGCACCACCCAAAACAACATATCGCATGGGTTCATTGCCCCCACCCCACCTTGTCCCCTTTACAGTTAAGCCTCCCCAGTCGAGACCGACACCAGACCCTGGCAACCACTGATCTGTTTCCTATTCCAGAGTTGTGCCTCTTCCAGAATGTCATGTCAAGGAACGGTGAAGTATGCAGCCTCTGAACCTGGCTTCTTTCACATGTCGTGATGGGTCTGAGGTTCACACAGGCTGGGCATGGTCAGAGGCACCAGCATTGCTGGTCCAGAGTAGAGCAGTAGGGTTGGTGGAGTATACTGGAGTGCAAGAGTGGTCAAGTATGTGGATAATAAGTACAGAATAGTGCAATGTGGCAAAGCATGCATGGTATACAGAGGTGGGGGCAGGTAGTGTAATGCCGGGACAGAGCAACATTGGTGGTTGGTATAGGTTATATAGTATATATGGAAGATATTTAGTATGCATAGAATATATACATAGTATAGCCTACTGTACTAAACATAATACAGCATAGTATTAGAGCACATTATATGAACTGCAGTATTGCCTTGTATATATACCATAGGGTAACATACATAGTGCAGGATAATGTTGGTTAGGGTAATAAAATATACATCCTTGGTGCACATGATATAGCCCGTGTGCACAGTGCCATGTGGTATAATGTGGTCTACATGGTATAACAGAGGATCGTATAAGTCATAGCACAGCATATATAATTCTAAGGACACTGTATGCCATCTCATTTCATTTTCATGCTGACCCTATGACGTCAGTACTATTAGCCTCATTAAAGAGGTACCTGACACTCGAGATGCTGACTTGACCCTGGCTTCACAGCCACTGAGATGGAGAGCTAGGCTCAAACCCAGGAGTCAGCTGCACCCGGTGCACCTCCCTGGTGTCCTGGTGTGCACAGGCTTCTCTGCCAATGCTTCCTCCTTGGGAGTCCCCTGACCTCAGTCCCAATGGGCTAAACACAGCAAACTCAGGTGGCCCAGTGGACTTTGACAAGCAAATGCTCTCTTATTCTAACATTAAATCTGACATTACAAATCCAGTGCTTTCATATACATGGCTGCTGGTGGCACTCTGTTTAAATAGCACTTGCTCTTCAGGTTACGAAGACCCCCTCCTGTGGGGCCCACTCCTTCCTGCATGGTCTCTTTTGCCGATTGGGGTCGGACTCTGGAGGTCAGAGTCACGTATGTGTTGCTTTGTGTATCAGGAGTGCGCTTCACAGTTAATAGTGCCCAAACCACTCTCTCTTCTGTCCTTTTACCAGTGTGGTGAGGTGGGCAGCGACCACTAACCCATTTTACAGATGAGGTAAGTGAAGCTCCAAGAAGACCCAGGACTGCACTGTGCCAGATGGTCGGGCCGCCCTGACCTGAAACCTGGGCTCACCCCTCCCTGGCCCCTTCCTGCTCACTCTCCACTCCTTCCAGCCCCCACCCCAAGCTCCTTTCGGTGCAGAGCTGATGGGCGTAAGCCTTAGGCCATGCCCAGTGGGAGACCATCTTCCCTGGGCAAGTCGCCCGCTGTCCATCTGCTACACCTGCAGATCACAGTGCACACAGTTCCAGAGTTCTGGGGACCTGTGAGTAGGAGAAAGGTGAAGAGGACAGGAAGTTGGGGGGGCTTGGGGGAAGTGGGACCCAATCTCCACCGGCCAGAGTAGCTCACTTTTATCAGGTGTGTGTGTGTGTGAGTGCGCGCGCGCGTCCCTTTGCATAAAAAGAAAAGAAAACTCAAGCAGAGGTGCCGTGTGAGCCCCACGGCTTCCTTCCAGGTCCTTCCTGACCTGTCAGCATCAGCCAGGCTGCTCTGGGTGGGACCCCAGCAGCTGGAGGGGGAAGGAGGAGATGAGGACTGAGAGAGGTGGGTGGCCGCGGAGGGCCTGGCGGACACGCGGTCAGAGGCAGGAGCTCATTTCCTGTGGGCGATGGGCGCTGCAAGACACCCTCCTGGTGCCAGTGCTGACTGCCACCACTACCTTCTCGGGAAGGGGCTGGGCAACCACAGGAATGTGCCAGCTGGAAGTTCCTGGGGGTCCGATCTCTGGAGAGTATCTGAAACCCCTCCCTCCTGCCTCCACCGTGGCTGCAGGTCTCCTGGCAGTGGCCGGAAGCAGGACCCGGGGTCTGGGAGGCAGGAGCTGAGTCCCGCCTCCTTTCTGCCTCTAGATGCCGTGGGATGCCCAGGAGAGGACTCCACTTCTGGCTGACTCATCCAAGACGTGGGAATAAGTACTCCCACCAGGAGGGCTTGCTGCCGTAACTGAGGAGATGATGTCCGTAAAAAGCTGGTCCCAGAGCAGGGACCAGTGACTGCAACTGTAATTAGTGTCTTAAACGCATCCACACCGTCACCTCTATGGGCATCAGGCTAAACCGTCACCAGCCTCCAGGCTCACAAGGACACGTTCTACCAGGGCCTCTATCTCTGTGGTTGCCCTTGACAGCCTCTTCTGGGCCTTGGCTGCGCAGCCTTTACAACGAGGACGGGGTCCCACTCCTCCTGCTCAACACTGTGACTAGCTTCCCAGTTTACCCAGGGCCCTGGCCACGTTCTCTCCCTGCCCAGGGCTCCTGTCTCACCTCCTGTTATCCACTGTGTCCCCAGCCACTCAGGCCTCTGTCTCCTCTTTAAACACCCTGGACTCCCCGAGCTCGACCCCTCCCTGGGGCCTTATGCCATGGCTGCTTCTCCAGGAAGAGCCCTGCTGGTCTGCTGTCTGACGCCTTGGCCCCTCTGCTATCACCTCAGACATTCTCTCTGCAGGGACATTTCTGCATCCAATTCAAAGTAGCAACCCCCCTCCCCACAGCCAGGCAAGCACTCCCACGCACCCTGCTCATTTCCCTCAGTGACCTCACACACTGATTCCTCCTCTTCTTTTTTTGATTGGGGCTTGAACCCAGGGGTGCTCTACCACTGAGCTACATCCCCAACCTTTTTATTTCTTATTTTAGGACAGGGCCTTGCTGAGTTGCTGAGGCTGGCCTTGACCTTGCCATCCTCTTGCTTCAGCCTCCGGAGCCGCTGACATTACAGGTATGTGTCACCACCTGGCTCACACTTACGTTCTTGTCCGCTAATTTAGTTTACCAATTTTGTTTGTTAATTTGTAGAACAATGATGGAAGAAGAAAGGAAGGGAGAGAGGGAATATCATCCACATCTAGAGATCTGTGGGCAGGGAGAGAAGGGGGCCAGGGCCCTGGGTAAACCGGGAAGCTAGTCACAGGGAGAAAGAAAGGAAGGAATCTGAATTATCTCAAAGGGTAAATCAGACCATGAAGAATACCTGGCCTCAGTTCTCCATCCAGAAGTGGACACTTTAAAGCATGCAAGTAGAAACCCCTAAGTGCGGCTGAAGTTGAATACAACATTCCATTAAAGGGTAACAAATTCAAGTAACTTATTTGATTCTTGGGCACAATATTTTAACATCTATTATATTTTCTTCTTTCTGCTCGTCCCTCTGTTTACTGAGTGTGCGTTGTGTGCGTGGTCCTATTCTGGGTGAGTGGGAACCAGTCATGACCCAAAAAGATGATGCCCTACTGTTGAGATCTGAGGTCCGGTGGTGGAGGGGAGACTTCTATGTTGTGGGGAGATTGAAATAAGCAAATCTAATCTTCTCCCCAGTCTGCCTAAAATTGCAACCAGTACAAGGGAATTCTGTATCTGGCAGCCATTGCTCCCACAGTTGGGGAGACTCAACTGTGCATTTATTTCCTGTTAAATTAAATAAACAGGAGGCTTTTAGCTTGAGGCTATCTCTTTACTTTAAGTTCTATGTGACAAGCCACAACCTAGCTTACTTCAAGAACAAACCAATAAACCAATACCTACTCAGGAGTGTAATTTATAAATAACAAATACTTGGGTTTCTGGCAATCACAGCTGAGCATGGCCAATTGCAGGCTGCCAGCTAGTCAGACCCCACCCAAGGAAGGCCAGTGCCTCCTCAGGCCATGCTGACCAGGACAAGGCATCCCTGTGGCCAACAGGCCAAAGGCGATGTCCCACTCTGTCCCTGGGTCAGGTCTGTGAGGTCACTGCTCACGCTGCAGGGTGGACCTCTCTGAACCTCTTCTGGTTCTGAATCCTGCCTGATTTGTGGATTGTTCTTTGCTCAAATCAACTCTCTTAAATTTAATTATATAGCTTTTCTATTAACACCCCCACAACGGTACAACGTAAATGGGGTAAGCTGATAATGCATTCATGCCCCATACATTCCTTCAATAAATATGTGCCTAGAGCATCGGCCACCTGCACGACATTGGCCCCTCCAGAGGATGAGCTGGAGGAGGAGGAAGGCTCCAATCTGCAACTTTGCTCATTTGACCCGTTGGTAGTTGGACCATTGGGTTTTGCAGTTCAAAACCCAGCACCATGGACCAAGGAACCCAGAGCGCGGAATTACATTTAGAATGTGGGAAGGGACTGGGCAGATGGCCTGGGGGAGGGAGTGAGCCCACACTGGATGTGGGCTTCAGGGAGCAGGGAGAAGGGAAGGGAGAAGGGATCCCCCTGTGGTGACATCTACTACTGACCTCCTGCTTCGTGCTGGGCACTGGACCCAGTGGTTTAAATAGTCATTCAGTTCCCACAGGAGCATCAAGACCGTGGCTGTAATCATGAGCTCAGTTTTACAGGTGGAGACCTGAGCCTCAGAGGGGGCAGGCAGTTAAACTGAGGTCACATGCAGGACCTAGGAGGAATGGGCTTCAGCTAAGCGGCCAGCACTGACGTCCAGCACAGATTCTCAGCTGGTCCTTCTTCTGTTCACTGTCTTGTGCTATTGGGTCAGAACAGGGCTCCTCCACCTTGGCCCTGTGGATGCTCTGGGCTGGTCACTTCTTTGTTGTGGGGACTGTCCTGTGCCCTGTAGTTCACTTAGCCATACCCCTGTCTCTACTGACATCTCAAGAGGACTTACTCCCAGCTGTGACTGTCAAAAACTTGTTTCTGTACACTGCCAAACGTCCCCCGGAGGACAATATCATTCCTGGTTAAGGACCCTTGGATTAGCTCCCCTCCCCAGAGCCAGGGTAAGGAGAGAGCGCAGATTACATTTTGAATCTTTGGCCAAAGACACCAGGACCCACGGAGAAAGAGAGGAAGCAGGCTGTGGACTCAGAAACACCAGGGCCACCACCCCAGCAGACCATGCATGCTCCACCCAATGCCACAGCACTGTAGTGACCAGTTCCACCAGAACCCTGCACAGAAAAAGGAGACGGTTTGGAAATCACTGAGAAAAGTGGGACTAGGGTTTGCACTTCTCCCTGAGTAGTGGGAGCCCAGAATGGAGACAAACTCTCCAACAGGACCACCCAGGGGCCAGCAATCTGCATGCAGTCCCTTTTTTGACGGATACCCTCTTTTCTTCAAGGGAAGGGCTTTTCTCCTGAGGAGCTGGGGGAGAGCTGGGCTCGCGGCCAGGCCTTCACATTGCCAAGCAGCCTCTGTGAGTTCTTAAAACTGCCTTCAACTGGGGTTCCACATATACACTGGAGGACACAGACGCCGGATAGCAAGACGATGACATTTACCACAGAACCTTAAACTTAGGGCCTGAGATCTGTGTTTCTAACAAGCTCCCCCGAGATGCTGCTGGGAGTCACACGCAGGGCAAGGGAGACAGAGTGCCCACTGACCTCCTCGCCAGAGCTCACTGATGCCCCCTGGTATCTATGGCTGCGCACCTGTGGATCCCTCCACCTAGAATATGCTGTGCCTTGGGCTCCCCAGGCCTGCTTTCCAGGCTAAGGTGAGGTCCTGCCTGAGACGGAATCTGCTCTGCAAGGCCTCCCTGTCCCTCCTCTCAAACCCAAGGCCAGACTCAGCCCCATTCAGCCTTCCTTCACGAGCCTCCTTCCCCTCTCCCACCTCCCCCTACACTCAGCACCTGGCGACCCCCTCCATCCAGCACCTGACCATGAACTCAGAAATACCTATGGCCTTGTCTCTTTCCTGCTCCTGAAGCCCAGCCAGCCCCACCCCCCTTCAGAGGTATGGAAACCACATCCCTTGCCTGAGAGCTCAGAAAGAAGAGGCGAAAAATCCACCTACCAGGCCCTTAAGGAAGCCCCCCAGGGACTGTCGCGGTTTCTCCAGTTTCTTTGGGGACTTGCCCCCATTCTGCAGCGAGTTCGCGTCCACTGGGACCTGCTCCGTGGACGGGGCGGGTTCTTTGGCCTCCTGCTTGCTGTTCTTCTGCTTGGTGGTCTCGGCTGCGGGCCTCTTGTCCTTGGAGGAGGCCTCTGTGCCCTTCTGGGCCGCCCCCGCGGGCTCGGGCTCTGGTGGCGTGGCCGGCTTCTCCGTGGAGCTGGACGTCTGCGGCAATTTCAAACAAAGCCCATTTTTAGTGACTGCAAGGCAATTGCCAAAGGCAGGTGGGTGAATGTGTGGAAGCAGGGATGTTCAAATGAGGGGTGGCGTCTGCAGGTTCGTAAGTCTTGGGTGAAATGAGAAAAAATTATATGAGGTTACGCATGGCGCGGGACCTTTCTTATCCGTGAATCCTTGAGTTAATTCTATGTTTTTTCCAGCAAGCGTTCTTCCTCCTTTGTTGGTACCAGAACTTGGACTGTTCTTTGGAAACCAGCCTTTCCCCTTACTTCATGGGGTCTAAGAAAACTAATTCTACCCTTGGGCAAGCACACGTGATGCGGGCCTGGCCAATCAGAACACTGTGTGGTGATTGGGCAGCTGTGATTGGTTCAGGAGAGCCAAATGTGCAAAAGCTGAGCTACTCTCAGAACTTAAGAGGCATGGTCCCTCTCTATAGGATTTGAAGCTGTGAAAAGGTGAGCCTGGGGCTTTCAGAACCAACACCATTTTTAGGGTACACGTCCCTGGAAAGGAAGCCAACACAAGAAAGCAGAGCCGAGACAGGGAGGAAAAGACAAGGTGTTGATGGAATCATGTGAGACCACTTGATCTGGCTGTTCTTGAAGCCCCCTTTGTGCTTAAACCAGCTTAAAATCTACTTATAACCAGATGGACTTTTCCCCTTGGGCATACTCATTCTTTTCTTTGTGATTGGATCTACCTTAATTTTTGATATGAAACTGTCCTTTCACTTCATGAAATGGTGGCAAAAGAAGATGATTGGCTTATTTTAAGTTTCGATGTACATTCTTCTATGCCATGACAAGAAGCTTACGATTGCCGTTGGTTCCTACCATCTAGAGAGCTGAAGCTATGGAGTCTAGAAAATGGTGGCTAAATTCCAGATTTACAGATCAAAAAAAGGGAAAAAAATGTTAGGAAATAGAGATCCTTTTCTCGTAATTTTCTTAAACGCCAATGCCTACAAGGGCAAGACAGATAATGTGAATGCAAAAAAAAAGAAAAAGAAAAGAAAAAAAGAAGCCAGGGGTAAGAATAGCCAGTTGGAGATCTTCTTTCCCCAGCGGTGCAAGCAACACAGGTCAAAGAAGTTTTTTCTCGAGTGTGAGAAAAACACCAGTTCAAGGAATGCTGGTTTGGTACTGGGGAAATAAGCTGAATCGGGGTCAGAGGGACTGCTCTGAACTGAAAGTCACATGCCCTGGCCAAACAGATCCCAGCTGGGAGGCACCAGGTGGGCGTGCAGACTGCTGCTGTCAGATCGGCTGTATTTTCATTGGAACCTCAAAGCTAAATCTTCTAAAAATGAAAAAAATATGTCAACTTTAAAATACTGACTTCAAAAGTTTTCAAGCCGTGGTCACAACAAACAAGAGGAGCCAGTGAATACATGGTCACAACCTGATCCATTAAGGTATGTGCTGTCCCCAGGAAAGAAGTTCTCTGACAGAGTTGTAACTATGATTGAGAAGGCCACAAGCAAAGAGCGATAATTTTGAACCCAGTGAACCCAACGCACCACTTAGATGAGCCTCTTTAGCCCTGAAGGTGGCCTCAGGTGGCCGCTCTCCAGAGGGCAGAAGGCCTTGGAGAAAAAGCATGAGGGCCAGCACCAGAGAAGCCGAGCTGCGACTACACACCCTCCACGCCCTGCCCCAGCCCAGCAGCCAAGTTGCAGCAGGTGCTAAGACGTTGATGTCCAAGTACCTTGGACAGCCCGGAGCAGGCCTGGCCTCAGAATGACACAGAAAAGCCCACCTTGGTGCTCCACAGAGAGGTCAGAAGCCTGTGACCCATTTCTGTTGGGTGGAAGAGGTCAAGATCTAGTAAGGGCTAAAGGCTCAGGGTCCAGAGTCACAGGGCTCTGGTTTGGATCTAGTTCCATCACATCCTTGCTATGACCTGGAACAAACGGTTCTGTCTCTTGGTGTCCTTGTCTGTATGAATATGAAAAGACACCTCATGGGGTGGCCAGGATCAGACTAGCCAGGATGGAAGGCCTGCTTGGCACAGCGTCTGGCCCAGGTGAAATGCCAGACACAAGGTGGCCAGTCACCTTTGTCCTAGAACAAGGAGGTTCCAGGATAGGGAACTGACAGCTTTACGACCAGGAGAGTCCCAGGCCAATGGGGACAGGTAGGTTACCCTGACTTAGTATCCCCAGTAGCGACTCCTTAAAAAGAATGTGTGGCTCCTGACTGCCTGGTACAGAGGGGACACCAGTAAATAACTGTTGAGCATGACAAGACAGTGGTCCCCGTGCCTCTGTCCACTTGTCGCCTGTCCCTTGCCCCTCTAGTCCCTCTGCTCAGTCACAAGACCTGCTTTCCCCTTGGAACAGGGCTTCACATTTCCTCTAACTTATGTCCAGTCTGCCGCCATGGTTTCCCGCTGAGGCTCAGCTCTGATGGCATCTCCTGGGAGACATAGCCCCTGATCCCCTCTGGAGCACAGCGTTGCTTTCTTTATGCTTACAGGGACTCAGGACTTCTCTGTTCACTCAATAACATTTATATCTGGGGATTGAACACCCGGGGATTTATTCAGGTGCTGGGACAGAGTTGGTCTCCAGTGAAATATGTTGAATGAATGACCAGCAACTTACCCTCCAAATGCTTCCCAAGTCTTTACCTGTCCGAGTCACTGTGGGGCAGGAGGCAGGAAGCGCAAGGAACCAAGAAAGAGCTTTGGAGAGTTGAGGTCCATCCTCCACACGACCGCCCCTTCCTGGCCAGGCTTAGAGCTCCTTTGCAATGACCTAGGTACTAACTTCTGAAGACGGTCATTGACAGTCTCCTTATCTATGGAGTCAGTTGAGAATCAAAACCGTGCAAGGATTGCTCTGTCACTAAACTGAAACCTTTACTTGGGTTTGACTCCATCTCCAAATGTACAAGCATCTTCTCATCTGAGCTCTCGGGAGCAACCTCTCCTGGAACCCAGCAGCTCTGGCAGGAAGAACAAGGCTGTCTCATGCAATTCCAACTCCAGAGGCCCAACTAGCAGGAGGGCCTGGGCTTCCATCCCTAGAAGCATCCACTAAGGGTTTTACAACCTTAAAGAGGAGAATTGCAAAGGAGCAGGGAATATCTACTCTTGTCCCCTCAAATTAAATAAGTATTTGTGACCTCCCAGGGAGTAAGCATCTCTCTTGCCTGGATTCAAGGTCCTGGAAGACCAAGTTCTCTGAGGGACTCTCAGGACCCTCACAGGCAAGTCCAAGTAGATTTCCACAGACTGCATTCCATTTCTGCATTTTGTTTTGCCTTGTTTGGGGATGGGGGTAGAGGCCACACCCTGGGGCACACCAAGCACAAGTTCACCACTGAGCTACACTCCCAACCCCCGTTACAGTTTTAGAACCACCAGAAAAATTGGCATAGTGGTTTCACGGAAGATTCCAGACCAAATACACAATCACATTTAAGTTTTTTTCCCCCCTGCTTTTTGAATTAGGTAAGTTTATCATGTTTGCAATGTGGTAAGCTTGGAAGTTTTGGTTCTAAGACTGTACTTTGGGGGTGGGCGTAGACGTACATGAATAAAGGAAAAAAAAACTAGTTTGAAGTATATGAAGAAGAAAACCCCGATTATTATAGAAATACTAAAAGCGCAATCATGCTGTGAGCACTGCAGGGTGGTAACTCCCAACCAGCAGCCCAGCAGTGAGAGAAGGAAACAGCAATTGCTGAAGACTGAATGTGCGCCCAGGTTCCTGGGCCAAAGCCCCAACTCCAGTGTGACTGTATTTGGATGAAGGAAGTAATTCAGGTTAAAAGAGGTCACAGGGTGGGCTCTGATTCTCAAGGATGAGTTAGGGTCAGAGTAAGAGGGCTCTCCCTCCCGGCCCTGCCCTCTGTCTTTCTGCAGTGTGAGGGCCAGGCTCCAGGGCAGCCACCTGCAAGCCAGGAAGGGAGCACTCAGCAGGGACTGATCCCTGCCCGCACTTTGCCTTTCCAGTTTCCAGTGCTGTCACCTGAGCCCCCAGCCTACAGCATTTTGTTAGGGCAGCTGGGGGTGCCTCATACAGCAGCTAACATTCATGGAAGCTGTTGTGCCAGGAAGGATCTCGGTGCTCCGGGTGCATTGACTCATCTGAGTGTGACACCCTAGGGGGTCTTCTTTTCCTAGCTCCCTCATCAATGAGGAAAGCGAGATGCTGGGAGATTTGGTAATTAGCCAGAAGTCACACTGCTAAAAAGTTGGCTGTGCCAGGATTGGCACTTGGGCAGTCTGAGTCCAAAGACTCAGCCTCTTGAGCATTTCCCTATCTTGCCCAAATTGAAAAAAGAGTATTGATGATATTTTTTTTTCCAGAGGTACATTTTTTTAAGCTAAAAGAAGAGTGCAGATTACAAAGTAGGATGGGCATGATCCCATTTTTTTTTTTTTTAAAGAACACCTGAGGTTGTAAAAATGTCATAGCTCTGTTTTCTTAGAACAGAGAAATTACGGAAACAAACTCTGTGACCCCATGTCTTTCACTCACACGACGTGCCAAGCACCCTGTGACGTGATGGGAAATAGAAATGAATGCTTCACAGATGTTCCCAGAGGGGTGACAGGGGCAGGTGGGACAGGCAGCTAATAGACGAGGGACTGCAATTCGTGACTGGTGGATGAAGCAAAAACACAAAGCGGGGTGACTGGCGGGCTTGAAAGGCTCTTTGAAGAGGTGACACTTGTGCTGATTTGAAGGACAGGAAGTGAGGAGGGAAGAGTGCCATGGAAGGCCCGGAGCTAACTCCAGCAGGTCTGCAGAGCCCAGCAGGCACCTAATATGCAGCTGGTAACTGCAAATGCAGCTAGGAATTGCGCTGCAGACCAGGTGGGAAGAAGAGCACACACTGCCAAGCCCACCACCAAACCAAGCTCAAGGTCACTTACATGGCAGCTGGAGTCTTTCCCGTTTATTTCTTCTGAGGGCGGGATCCCTTCATCCCCTTTCACTGACTAAAATAACAAACAGACAAGGGCCTTTCAGCTCCCATGGTAGGCAAACCTGGAGAATGCAAGCAAGTTCTGGAATGATGACCCCTGCCACTCATTATTGAGATTCAGATCAAGACAAATGCAAGGCCCACCGGAAACCCACGAGTCTTGGGATACCTGGATTTCCTTCCACATGTGCAACCAGAGTCTGACGGAATCCGAGCCTTGGCCTCCAAAAAACACAACAGAAGCTCTCAAACCCAGGTTAGGTCATTCTGAGACAAGTAAATGGTGACAGTACTATCAGTGCCGCAACCAAACGGTGGTTGAACATGTTGCAAGAATGAATCTCCAAATGGGAAATCCAGCCATGTAACCCTCCGCTGGTACCATTTAGGTGGTGGGTGTAACTAAAGTAGAGATTTAAGTTAGACTGAGCATTCGCTTTCCACCCTGTAGCGCCCCCTATAGCACCCATAACAGGCCTGGCTGAGGCTGAGTTGGTTCCTTAAACCCCATTCTTGGTTCCTTAAACCCCACACTCTGAGCTATTTTTTCTAGAAGTGTGGTTCTAACACCTGCAGCGTCAGCCTCACCTGGAGCTGTGTTAGAAATGCAAACTCCTGACGAGCACTCCAGATCTCCTGAATCAGAAATCCTGGGTCTGGGGCTCAGCCATCTAACCAGCCTCCCAGTGATGCTGACTAGTGCTGGAATTGGAGCACCATCACTTTAAGCTATTTAGCCACAAATGAATTCAGACCAATCCTGGGGGTTGTAGTTTTAACCGTGCATTTAATAATGCCCTATTATTGATGCTCGATAAATCTGATGATGAATCACTCAGTCCATATCAACAATACTGACTCAGGTCTAATCCCTGAATTGGTCAGTGCTTAACATCTCCTCCCAGTTGGCAAGGGAGGGCACAGTGGGGCAAAGAAGACCTCAGATTGCACTCATGTCACCAAGGCTGTGCTCTTAGTGGACAGCAGGAATCCACAACATATGCAAAAACAGTTAACAATGTGGAAGACACTCAGATGCATCGGGGCTGAGGAGCATCATATGCCTCCTCTGAGCTATGGCACTCATGTTTTCACAGGTAATGGCAGGATTACGTTTGGAACCTAACTTTTGGCTGGTGCTAAGCACCAAGACACTGTGCTAAATGAGAGGACAACTTGCATAATTCATTCATCATATTAGAACCTTAAGAAAGAGGAGGAGGCATGATTATTTCCTTCCCTCAATATATGGGCAAAAAAAAAAAAAAAAAAAGGAGTCTCTGAGACTGGGTCATGAAACTGGCAGGGTAGAGAGACTGAGTGCGTGCTCCATACTGGAAACCTTCCCAATATCACTGTGCACAAGGAGGCACCGCTCAATCAACAATGGTTCCTGAACATCTACTATGAAGTTGGTAACACTAGCTTCAGCCACGTGATTAGGGTTTGGGTGAGAGGGAGGTTGGTAAACCCACAGAAGGGCATGCGTGGGACCAGCCCTTTCCAAAGGTCAACAGTGCTCTCCTTGGGGTTGCTCTCCAGTTCAGAAGACTTGAACAGGACCGCCAAGGGCATAACAGTGAGTGGGATCCTGAGCCTTGACCCAAAACCCACACTGACAGATCTTGCACAGGGCAAAAGCCTGACATGCACCTCTGATTGGCTGGGATGGATGAAGTGGTGTCTGACAGCTTCCATGCTTTCCCTAGGGACAGCACTGTGGCACTCCCCCAAGGTTTTCATCCCAAAGGCAAATAAGAATCAGCCTGTCCTCCACATAAAATTTGGATCTGTTAACACACAAAGTGGTTTTTCCTTCCTCTGGGTCTCCTGTGTTGTTCTGCTGAGGTCCAACCTTGCTTGAGAAGGTTTAGAAGAAGAATCTGCCTCTGTTGCCTTTGTCCTCAGACTTCCCATCACACGTGAGGGTTAGACCTTGGGGATTTCATTCAGTCTCCTGGATTCAGGCTGCATCCTTAGGGCGCTTCCCACGTGGACACCTTCCGGGTGTCCTTAGGATACGCCTGCATGTCCACATTAGGTGGCATCTGGGAAATTTTGAATGGCAAAAAACAAATGAACACGTAGTCCTTCAAGCCAAAAACAGAATGGACACCAGGAGTCAGGCATGGCCCTTCCCCCTCCTCTGGAAAATAAAGCTCTCTCTTTTGCCCCCAAAGAGGGAGGGGTTTTGAATTTCCTGTCAGTTGCTTCAATTTGGTATTCGTTAGGTACTCTGCCGGTTTTAAGGTTTCAATTTGCTCTCTTCCCCTCCCTTTCTTTGATGGTTCTCGGATGAGAATTGGGGTTGAATCTAAATCATGCTAGGTTGGCAGCAATGCAAACAGACCTTCAGGCTGTCGAGAAGATCACTGCAAAGTTTAGCCTCTTTACGGAAAAAAATAGGAGTGGCTACCTTCAGCATTTCCATGATTTTTCTCTGTTGCTCATTTTGAGGCACAGAAAGCTCAAAGCGCACAAACCCGACTGATGGCAGGGTTGTGACTCAGGGTGTTATTTAGTGCATCTGAGATCATTAACAGCTCTCCCTCCCACCCCTCCCTCTCCATCCCTCCTTCTTCACTCTTGGTAGAGCCTCCTTCAAAGACAACTCAGGATAACAAGGTTGGGCTCAGCCATTCCAAGGGCCAGAACCACACAAGCTTATTTTTTCCAGCTGTCAAAAATAGCATAGTTACTGTTTAAAGAGACGAAAAGTCCTTCAGAGACCATTTAGCACTTTGAAGAACAATTTGAAAGCTATTAAATCAGTTTCCAAAATTTTCCAATTTGACACTGAGCAACTTTTTTCTCGGGTTATTTTGTCCCTGAGAAGCCAAGGGGAAGCATCTCAGGGCACTTGGCCTGCAGTGTTGAGAGGGAATCTTGTTGTGGCACCCAAGCCTTGCATATTAATGAAGTCACTTTTTATTTCTTTCACTGTGTCCTGAATTCGGCTAGCTTGATAACGCTGAGGAACATCTGAACCATTTCCAATACATGGAGTTAGATATTCAAAATTCTAGCAGAAGCATTCAAAAAGGAATGGAAATGTATTTTGATGTCAACTTAATTCAACAAAAGCTGATATTTAGAAGAAGAAAAATTGGGTTGAAATTTTAATGTGCTATGAGAATATCCGCAATGCTGTTTACTAGATCAACCTCCACTACCACAAATGCAAGGAACTGGGGCTACTGGAAATTTCCAGGTTCCACAAAGGTAATGAGTCCAGACTCCGTGCTTTATCAAGATGCTCGTATAAAACAGATTTGGAATATTTTAGCCCAGTGGGGTAAATTTCCTTTTCATGACAGGCACATGCAGGAAACCTATGTCCGAGCTTCCCTCTTATGCCTTCCTGTACTTGCAGGTAAGAGCAGTATCCCAACACATAAGAAAGATCTTTCCTTAGAAATCACCACTGAAGGACACACCAAAAAATGGAACTGACAGTTGTCCTGCGCCCAGATAGCCTCATCTGCTGCAAAAGACCCAGAAGCAGCAGTGGCACTTGAGAACAAGGGGAACGTTAGGAACAACGAAAATGAGAAGAAAGCGCTGACCTCTGTCAGTGCCTGGTGCCCACGGAGGTGCTAAGCCCTGGGCTCCTCGGGTTTCTACCCTAAAGAGAGAGATGTGGAGCTGGGGTTGTGGCTCAGTGGTAGCACTTTGAAGAACAATTTGAAAGCTATTAAGTCAATTTCCAAAATTTTCCAATGTGAAAGTAAACTTGCCTAGCATGTGTGAGACACTGGGTTTGATTCTCAGCACCACATATAAATAAATAAAGAAAGATCCATCATCAACTAATAAAAATTTAAAAAAAAGAGAGAGATTGTGCAAGCAGCTCTAGCACAGCGCCGCCACGTGGTGGGTGCATGAAGGACAGGACTGTCGCTAGTAATCAAGGAGTGCCCAGCAACCTGCAGTGACCTGCCAGGGTAGACAAACCCTAGTCACTGGTGGAGACTGGAATTGCCCAATTAGACGCTTCTTTCAGAAACCTGCTTTCAAAGAGCAAATCAGTATCAACATTTTAATACTCAGGGGAAAATCTGAGAGCAAGAACATTGGCTGGAAAACACCTGTTTTTTTGAATTATAGTTAACACTGCAAACCATCTACTTTTCCCCTCCAGATAGTAAATTTCAACAGCTATCAGCTTCTTAGATGAAATGTAATCAACAAAGAGCTCTGATTCCTCGACTATTTTCTCATTTGACCGTTTAATTGGCCTGGTATTAAAGCTCATGGTCTTTCTCTGAGCCTGAGAATGTTAGTTTTTTTCTTATAAAATGAATGGTCCCAAATTAAGAGCCAAGAGGTGGATTAAATGAAATAATGTATGTGAAAATAGTTTGGAGGAGGAACGCACTTTTCAAGTGCAAGGTGTTATTATATTGACAAATTATAAATCCCAAATCTATACATTTCTATCTGCCACCTTTGTGGTTTCAAACCTGCCTACCTGGTTTGTGGATACATGAATGCAGCACTCTGCCCACTCATTTTATAAAAATATACTAGCACTTCAGATATTCAATTTCTTGACATACAGCTGAATTAATATGTATAAGAATCTTTTTCTATTTAGGGCATGACAGATGTCTTAGATGTTCCTTGCAATTATTTTGAAATCCTGTAGGAGCTGATAGGATTTTTGCAAAGTGGTACATCTACATGCATTGAATGCAACGTTAGACTTCTATTACTGACTTCTTTTTACTTGAAATACAGTTATTTGGAAAAATGATATTCCATTTTTTATTTTCATGAGAGGTTAATTTCTGGAAAGTAAATGAATTGGGTAATGCCTTATTTTGAAAAAAAAAATCAACTGAGAGTCAATTTGTTATGGGATACTAAAATATGCTCTCAGAAACTAAAGAGAAGCAGAGTCCAGGAAGTGGAAAATCAATGATCTGATGAATGAAGAAATCGAACACAAAACAGAGGTTTTTGCAACTGAATTTTCTCTTCTATTAAATCTTTTTTTTAAACCGTATCTTGTGCTCACAATATGTAAAATTAGTTTGGAATTTTCAATTATTTGGCTCAAAAACATTCTCCTGGAATCCTTCATAGGACGCCAGATACTGTCTTCATTTTTAAGCCCCTAGAGCAGGATTTTTTTTTTTCTTCTCTCCCTTTGCATAAACCCAAAGACTTTAAATTAATTTGGAAGCCACGAACATGTTGCCAGAAAGCCAACTTCCAGGAATCTACCCAATGGGAATATTAATATGTGTATAAAAGTGAGTGTCTTCCATTCTCAGGGAAGCACTGAAACCCTGTGTGTGAGGTGCTCGGGGCAAGTTCATGGTTGAGAGGATGAGGACAGAGTTAAAAATGTCCATTGTCTTCACTAAGCTTTACTCCCCCTGAAGACAGATGCTGCACCTATTTATGCTCTCCCTTATGTCCCTAGTGCCCAGAAGAGAGTGGACACCGAATAATTCTTTGTCAAACGTCTTTTGTGCATTGAATCAAAATGGCAATAAAATTTTCTAATGAAAACAAAACAGGAAAAAAATGACAATAATTAGGAAGTCTGGGATTCTAGGGGAAGTTCCAACAATCCAAAAATATGCTATTTTTCCCCCCCCCTGTAACTCCCAGCTCTATCCAGAAACAGGAAGGCTGATCACCCTCAATATTATGATGCACTATTTGAGGATCTCATTTGTCATGCAGAGGCGCTGCCAGAGACAGACTCAATGTTCTTTTCTTTCTTGGCATAATGTGAAAATCGGTTTAAGAATCTCAAATCTTGATCTTCCTTTTTAGTGCCAAGTTACAGAGCAAATGATCAGCAACAGAGATGGGGTTTCAGCCACACTCATGGATTGTCTACTGTGCATGCTGAGTTTCTTTTTTATTTTCCTCCAGAAGAATCCAGCAGGAAAATAAAATGATTCCTGCCAACAATTTCCAACAGAATTATTTCTAATATGCATCAACTTCCACTGACAAGAGTTTTGTTTTGTTTTATTTTTTTGTGGACCCAAAAGAATTCTTTTAACAGGCTGATCTCATGAAATTAGAGAACTACTTTCTCAAAGGATTAAACTTCCCAATACTCCCCAAAATAAAGGCACACTGTAATGAAATTCTCATTTTTCATTAAAAGAGAATTAAACCAATGACCTTTTACGTGGGTTTTTGATTTTTTTTTTCTCCAACTGATTTGGGTTTTGTTGCATTATGTTATTTAAGTTCCTGACTATTTAGAGATTGAAAGTACGTGATTCTTCATAGGCACCAAAGATATCTGTCTACATTCTTTCCATTCTGTACATAGAGGGAAAAAAAATGACAAATTTACCAGCTAAACTATAAATATACACTATGACAACATCATGCTATCATTTCCCTATTTGAATTCTCTATGTTAGCTTTGTCTAAATTTGAGTCACACACATGTCACCTTCAGAATTCTTGACCCCTCAATGTATAACTTGGACTATTTAGTATTTTATCCACTTAAATGCCTCATGTTCTTGATGTAAATAAATGCATTTTCAAAGGAAACTCTATATTATTACCATGTTGTAAGCATCATTTGCCACCAATAGAAGGAAACTTGAAAAATAAATTAAATCAAATGCAAGCCATAATGTTAACTTTTAGGACGATGCTCATGTTTGCTAGAACTCAGGATCCAAAGCCAGCTCTTCCTTAATAAAAAAGAGAATCAGCCAGCATTAAAGAAGGTCAGCCATTCACGGAGGCTTCCTCCGCGACTGAACCGGAGGAGGAGGGCATTCTCTCACTTGCTGGGCGTTCATATCCCATGCACATCCCCTGCCACCGAGCACTGCCCCTTACTTGAGGCAGCGGAGCTCGGTAGTGCACTGCTGTGCCGGAAGGAATTGGCTTACCATGTGTCTGAGCAATGCCATCAGGGAGGTCCTCCGCGGCTTGCTTGCTTCTCTTTTGAGTTTTACTTCCGTGGGTTCAGGCTTAGCATCTTCTTCTTCAGTGAGATCCACTGTTTGTGAGGCTGAGTCTACTTTCTCAAACTTTGTAATTTCTATTGGTGATTCACACACCACCTGGATAGTTTGCCAGGTATTAAGAAAGTGAAACAAAACAAAACAAAACAACAAAACAAAACATACATTTGCCCACAGCATGTTTTATAAAGGGGCCGGGGCTGTTCCTGTCCACATGGTAGCTATAGATTTGCATCGATGACCATTTGTACCCAGGCACAGCTTCGTGTTGTCCAAAGTGCTTTCCAACAGACAGTTTTTGAATCACTAACACACTGATGTGGACATGGCAAGTTCCCTCCCATGCGTCCACAGGACACAGAGGGATCCCTCTGGGGACCCCTCTTCTATTCCAGTGAGCCCACCTCTTTGGTCTGCTACAATGGCAAATCACACCTGGCCTGTGCAGAAATCAAGAATCGTCACTTCCTCGAGTCCCACCCTAGAGGCAGTGGCTGTGACACCTGCCATTCCACAGCCTTTGTCCCTCGCAACTGTGGGAAAACTGTCCTCCTTGCAGGAAGGCAGAGAAGCCACTTGGTTTACTGGACTCCACCTCCTCATGAACTCATTTCCCACCTCTCCAGTCACTTGCATTGGTACTCGACTGGAGTTGGGACTTCCAGGAGAAAAATGAACTTGACCCCAGAGCTACGGCTGTGTCGGTGATGGCGCCTGCGGAGTGCTCGTGGGCTAACGTCCTCTGACCACCTACTGGGGAGAAGGGTGGCCAGCGGTGGGCTCCCATGAACTCTCCCATGTACTAGCACACGGGCCCCAACTTGTGCTTTTGCACGGTCACATGCCATTTCTGTGGCCCCAGTCACATCTGGGACAGTTTCTGCGACTATAATGGTCCCTGCAGCAGGACGGAGTCCACTGGCCGGGGAGGCATTTTTCCTTTCCTCGGTTTTCCAGGCAAGAGCTGGCAAAGGACCACCCACTCAGCCCTGTGCCTGTTTTACTTGGCCCCTGAGCTAAGGATGGTTTGTACGTGTCTAAAGGGTTGTAAACAACTATTAAAAGATGAAAATATTGGATGCAGACAAAAAATGGCTCACCAATCCTAAAATATTGACTCTCTGGGCCCTTTCATCCCAGGTTTTCCATCCCCTGTCTCCAACAGAAGCACTGCCAAGCCAGGGGCCTCTCTGCGTTTGTCCCTGCGGAGCCAGACACCAGACTGCTCAGAGCCTTGTTCTCAGTGTCGGGGTCGGGGAGGGAGATGGAGTTGTCTCCAAAATACTGAATGCTTATGGACAAGCTACCTCCCCTTCCTTCACGTAGTACACGCCACTGGTTTGCAGTGAGCCAATTTTTCCAAATAGAGAATTTTAATCTTTGTATTATCTCAACCAAGGCAGAGAGCTGCCAATCAATGAATCAACATGCAGAGCTATTGGAATCTGGCAAGGGAATCAGAGTAGTCTGCCCGTGCCTCGCATTTCTTAAAATATCGACATGATTTGTGGTATTTTCCCTTTGGAAAGGAAGGACTAAGCTCAGGTGTTAGGACTCAAAAGTCCTCAGTAGGCAAGGCAGAGGTGTCCCTGTGCATGGACCAGATAGAGAGAAAAGGTGTGGTCAGGACTACAGCCAAGGAATGTCCCATCTGAAGACATTCAAAGATAAAAACACTGGATGTGCTTGGGGGAAGCTGCTGCCACCGGCTGCTGGTTTCTGATCCCAGTCTGGCTTTAGACCAATGAGAGTCTGGGATTGGTGTCTGAAGGGGGACGTGGTTTCCGCGTCTAGGCATGTTCCATTCAACTGCATTTCTGGAAAATGAGCATCAGCCACAAAAGCCCATGAGCTGGGCCTGGAACGTATCTGTCCCACAACGTGGGCAGAAAGCAGAGGCGCTGGGCAAACTGCTGGGCAGAACTCTGTCTCTACCCCTAAGTGGGCCTAATCCAAGGTCAGCATTTCATCTTCTCTGTTCTGGGTGGGGACACTGTACTCATCACAAAGCTGTTCTGAGGATTAAATCAGGCAATTCATGTCAGGCCATAATTAATACAGGGGTTGTGATTTGTGTCCGAGTTACACCTATTTATTCCATGAGCACAAATTACCTGGAATCGCCACCACCCGCAAGTCCATTATTGAGGGGTGATTATTTTAATAACTACCTCTCACTGTGCCTGGAGTTGAGAAAGCCATGTTTTATACATAACCTCAGGAAACAGTCACAGAGACAGCTCAGGAAAGATAACGTTATCACCACTCTATAGATGAAGGACATGAATGATTGAATGACTTGGCTAAAGTCACAGTACAGAGGAGAGGACATTTCAAGGAGAAGAGCACTTTCTGCCAGTAATTGAATATATAATAGTGGATTAATTGATAAGGACATGGAAGAAGAAGTTTGAGAGCAAGTCATTCTGGAGCTGGTCCAGCAGCTCTGGGACTTCACTAAGGACTAAGCATCGTCTTATCCTGTGTCTCCACCACTCTTGTCATGCTGCATTTTCATTCTGTTATTTGTTACCTCATGGTCATGAAGTAGCTGTTATAGCTCCAGCATCACATCCTTATCTCAGTGTCCTGAGATGGAAGGAAGGTCCCCATAACAGACTTGCTCCGTAAGAGACAACTCCAGACTGAACTTTGGAATGAACTTTGGAATTCGGATCCTTTAGTTCAGGGCACACAAATCTCACTGGTCATAACTAGGTCACTTCCTTATCCCTAGACTAATCATAGGTGAAGAGAATGGGTAAGAGGAAGATTAGCATGGCCCTAAAGTGGGTAATGAGCAGTTTGACTGACTGACCCTCGATTCTGAATTCTATTTGGCCTTTGAAACAGCATGTTCTTTTTTGTGTTCAAGGGCCTGGAAGGAAAGTCACTTCTGTAATAAAATGATAGATTGTATGACAATAACTTTGTAAACCACCCTTATTTGAGTGCCAATGGTTCCCTTGTGGGGTCTTTTCAAATGCTGAGAGGTGTCAGCTCATGAATCCTAGGCTGCAAGTCCATTCTCCAAAACACAACAATTTTAGTAGGCAAAACAAATGGGGCTTCTAGAGACTTCCATCAGCTTTGAAGTCAGGCCAAGAAGTTGGCTTTCAGTAGCCAAGGAAAATCCACCAACATCCGGTGTGGGAACCCAGCACAATTTGGACCAAGTAAGGATCCAATTTGCATATACAGACATGAGAATTCAATTTTTACTTGGATACTTCTCTGACTTCCTTTCAGGCTACAGCTTTGAAAAAAGTCATTCCCCATTTAGAATATATTAGTGCATCTGTACATTTTAATTTTAGGTTTTATAGATATAATTAAAATCAGACTTGTGCCATATTTTATTTTTGTGTGAGCTATAGTTTAGAATTGAATCTCCCTTGCTTAACTTCAACAGGGAAGGTGTATACATTGTATAGGATTGGCCAGTATGTTTAACTTGCAAAATATACCTTTCTGTAAAGGGTGTTACATATTACCTCAAATTTTATACCGTACTTATATTTTTTATTTTTAATTTATTGGTACCAGGGATTGAACTCAGGGGCACTCGACCAATGAGTTACATTCCTATCCCTGTTTTGTATTTTATTTAGAGACAGGGTCTCACTGTGTTGCTTAGCACCTTGCCATTGCTGAGGCTGGCTTTGAACTCATGATCCTCCTGTCTCAGCCTCTTGAGCCACTGGGATTACAGGCGTGTGCCTTTTGAAATTTTGTTTATACAGTTTTTCTTTCTTTTTTTTATTAGAGCTGTGAGTTTTGGGAACTAATTTATAGCAAAACAGATATCCTCCACTTAAAACTTCAGCCACCACATAATAATATTGGTATTTAAGGGTTTTATTTTAGATTCTTTTTTATTGGATTTATAATGTGATTATTTGGTTACAGAGAATTAGAGATTTTCTTTCCTACCCAGTAACTCTTTTTTTTTTTTTCTCATCAGTTTATAGCAGCCAGTTTTGTTTTGGGGCAACCATCCTCCCTGACTGATTGAAAAAGTCTCAGCCAACCAACCTGGTCTAGCTCCTTGGCATGTTGGCTTAGGGAAGGCAGCATCGGGTGCGCAGAGTGTGTTATTTTTACAATTATTCACTCCATCTTCTTGGGAAAGAATCACACATCTGTGCCCCTTGCTGGGTGACCTGCTTTAGTGAATGGATACGAGTGGATATGACATAAGCCACATCTGAGCTGAGGCTTTAAGAGCCATTGTGGCTTCTCCATGGCGTTCTTCTCTCCCCACAGGTCCTTGTGGAGGGACCGCTTATTTATGCTAGATCTCAGCAGAAAGAGACCACGTGAAATAGCCGTGGTAAATATACAGCTGACTTATGGCATAAGTGGAAAAAAAAAAAAAGAGAAAGCTGTTGAAAGCCACTAAAATTTGGGAGTTGGTTGTTACTGCAACAAAACCTGGCAAAAGCTGACTAACAGAGCACGTGAACACATCTGAGCCAATGAAGGAGACAATTCCAGGACCTGTGGGCTTGGACCTGGAGAGATCTCTCCTTTACTCAGGACTGGGTAATGTGATGTTGGAAAGCTGAGAAGGCACCCAGACCAAGAAGGCTGAGCCAAGGGAGAACCCTGAGGGAACTTGAAATCAATTCTACTTTCCAATGATGACGCTCAATACATTCCTTTTTCTTTCTCATCCAGGTCGTGCTTGGGTTTCACTGGTGACTAAAAGTTCTCTTATTAAGAGGGAAACAGCATAAGTGTACTTTGCCTTGGGAAGGAAGTTGTTTTCGTTAGTTAGAACATTAACTCAGTCCATTAACAGCCCAACATTTCCAAATCACCACTGAAAGATTCAATAATTTCTACGGTTTATATAGATATCATTTCTGATAGGATAAAAAGCATACCCCAGGAAAAACAGTAAACTTTTTTTTTTTCTGATTAAATATGAATGGACCTTTCTGGTTGACAGATTGTTTTGGAAAGTTGGGCATAGAGAAATTAAAAAAAATAAACTCAATTCTATTTGACCCAGAAAAAGCCAGGAGTGAGAGCCCTCTTGTGACCTGACCAATCGCATCTGACTGCTCTTCAGCCAGGGTTCCGGGGCCACATATTGTTTTAACCGATGCCATCTCTCCCATTAAGTTTTTCCTTTTTATGTATCCCTTCTCTTCATGGGGACGCCCATGTCATTTTACTAGGAAATTTAATCCTCATGACTGGGAAGAACTCAAAGATGACCTGGCAGCCTGGTCACTAACGATTACATTGGGGGTCACCCAGCTTTCTTGCAAAAGGTCCTGCCGCTAGCATGGTCTCCCCAGCTCTGCTGCCCTAACAGCAAAGCAGCCACAGGTGACGTGGTAGGAGTGAGTCTGGCCGTGTCCTAATAAAACATTATCAGCACACACTGAGATTTGAATTATAGTTTCCACACGTCATGAAATGTTATTCTTTCCATTTTTTTCCAAACCATTCAAAAATGTAAAAGCCATTCTTGGCTCACTGGCTGTTCAAAACAGGTACTGGCCTGGACTTGCCCAGGAGCTATAGTTTGCTGATGCCTAAATTTCTGAGTGCTTCCTGAGATTTGGGTAGTGAGGGGATCACAATACATGCCTTATCTCTCCTGATTCTTCCCCAAATCATGAAGTGCTGGTAATGTTCTTATCACCACCTGGAGATGATGGGACCCAGATATGACAACTATTTACTTCACTCCCTCTGGGAGAGGGGCAGTTGATGAAATATTGAGCTTTAAAAATAGAAAAGTAAGTTCTAAGCCTAAGTACATTAAACACTCTTTTTGATGCTTCTTTGTTTTCTTAGGAAACTAATTTGCTTTTTTTCATATCCTGACCAACTTTTGTGCTGTCTTTTGGTATTCAGAATTTATGTTTTAATTCACATTTATATTACCATTTCAAGCTTCCTACTAGAAAATGAAATCAGATCAACTCTGCATTTTAGCATCTGAGCTACTGCAGACATCCCGAGGTGGGCAGCTACACTAAACATCCCCCACAGATGCTTCTCTTCAGAAACTCAGAACCTCAGTGCTAACCAAGGCTCCAAATTCAACCTGAAACTTTAACATTTAAACTTCATGGGGAGAAGACCTGTGGGCTTCCTCATTGCAGGTTCCTGAAGGTCTAGAGACTTTGACTCTCTAGGAAATAGCCAATAAATTCATGAGAACTTTCTGGAATCATGAGAAGCCTGAGCTTTGCTAAGCTCCTCAGTTTGGTTCAAGAAATAAAAGAAGGAAAGGATTGAGAAAGGGAGCGATACACAACAAAAACGAGCAGATTGAAAAGATTTTCTCCTCAAGAGAGTCATAACAGCCATTCTAATTTCCCTTCCATATCATGGATAGCATTTCTGGAATGTATTTGGATTCTCATCATCTGTTCAGTTCCAGTAACTAGATAAAAATGAAAATGCATACTATTCATGGCAGTGAACAGGAGACACCAGAAGGATCCAAACATCTTTTGCTTTGGCAAAATGAAGATGTTTTGTTTCTACCTTAAGGAGCTGTGGATTCACTTATCCTCACTTATAAGATTATCCAAAGACCGTGCTTCCTTCAGGAATGAGAGCAGCTCTCTTGGGCCTGAAACTCATGAGGCCCATTTATTAATCTCCCTGGAAAATGTTTTTTTTTTTTTTAATACAAACACACACACACACACACACACACACACACACACCCACCACCACCGTGGCACTGCATGTGACACCATTTCTTTGGACATGAATGTACTATCTTGAAAATTTTGAGTATCTTTTGAGGCCAGGAGTATCTGACCTTGGTTAAAGGTAGAGCGTCCCTGTCTGTCAGATGCAGACCCACGGAGTCCCCTCTCCAACTGAGACCAGCTTCTACAGCTGCAAGGGGTTCTCCTGCTTGAGGCAACTGCCTGTCCTGGGTACCAACCCAAATTAGTAAGAATCAGGATCACCATGGAGATGAAGGTGAAGGAGCAGTCAAGGCAGAAGCAGAAGATGCAGCGTCATTATCCCTTATGGAAGTGCCAAGCCATTCCTACGTGCTGTAGACTCTTTCACCCCTAAATGATAACAAATGATGAAGCAGCATGCTTTCCTCCTGCAATTATTTTGCATCAATTCAATGGGAGTTACAAAAATTCATCCAGTGTTGTTCCCCTTTGGCCCCTAGTCACAAGACAGGGTGAAAGAGTCCAGAGCGGATGATTATACCTGGAGCATGCCAGAACACAGGATCCCAGGGTTGGAAAAGCCCAATGGTCCAACATGCCCAAGCCGAGAGGGGGATGATTCTGTCATTGAATGCCTCACTTACATTTTCTTCTGCACCTGGGGCGACTGAATCCTCTTTAACTGACTAAAGGAAGATAAAAACAAATGTGAGAATCAAGATGTTACCACTCCCCCCCCCCAAAAAAAAATAAATTACACAAAAGCAAAGGGCTCTTTGGGCTGGCAGTTCTCTGATGTTGAAATGCTCATCTAGACCTTGTTCCCCAAAGAACTTGGAAGACAATGACGAGTGCAAATAGTATAACAAGATAATACAAGTTGTGCATTTTAAAATGCAAACAACTTGCAGACACAGCCAGGCCCAAATGGAACACAGAGAGGGGCTGCCACAAAGCCTTGCCTGGGGGAAAGCCACGCCTTGGCCTTCACGTTTTCTAGTAGCTGATGATAAGAGGGAACCATTATTAAATCTCTCAATCTATAGTCAGTGTTAGGTAAAAACAAACAAGCTGCTTGGGGAATATTCTAGCAGTAGGCTGAGAAGTGCACCCACGATCCTCAGGTTCTCATGACTGTCCTGTCACGAGCAGGTCCTCAGCCTTTTCCTGACCATGGCATTGGAGGCCACTTCTTACATCAGCCCTTGATCTGGGCCAGTGTCATCGTGCTGAAGTTCAAACACTCCCTGGAAGAGCCAGAGGGTGGGGGTCTGACCCATCCAACTCCACAGAGTTGCACTCCCTGGAGTAATTCTGCATCTCCTGTGCTGTCCTAATATCTCAGCTCTATTCTGAAGCTCCAATGTCGATGTCATCTTTGCCTCTTTCCTTGGGTTGTCCTCAAACTTTTTTGGGGGAGAGTGTTAGTGGCTTCAGACCAATTCAATACTCAAATGAGTAGATCTGGACTCTCTTCCCATAAACAAAGTACTTTTTATATAACTGCAGGGTGTTCATAGACCTTCTGCACCTCTCCTCTTTATTCCAGGGCAAGAACTCTTCCTTGCATCTCTGCTGGTACAAGACCCCCCCTGCCCTGTAACAGGTGCAGTGTGAGCCACGCAAGGGAAGCGGTATTTACCGATGTCTTTCACAGTGGCATCTTGCTTCCACTACCCCTCAAAGTGCCTCCAAATAGCAAGTACTGAGGGCCCCTTTGCACAGTACTGCAAGAACAGCACAGAGGGGCAAAGTCACTTGTTCAGGCTAAACAGCTAAAAAAGGGGAAGCAGTGTTTCCAGAAGCTAAGTTTCTCTCTTGCCAACATGACTTTAAGGATGGAAATATGTACTTTTTTGTGTGTGTTTGCCTGGGTAAAAAAGGTGTCCATGAAAGGACTGTAACATTTCTGGAAGCTTCCGACTGTCAGAAAATGATAGCACATGCAGAAGGAATTTGGGAGGAGCTCTGCTTTCTTGGAACTGTACCCTGATTGCACGCTGTCGAACACGATGCACAGGTAAAGAATCAAATGCTATTTCAAAAGGGGAACCTCCTCAAGCCTGACCCACAGAAGTTTCAGGAATAAATAGACCATCTACGTTAGACTGAGAAAAACCCTCTTACTATCTAAAAATAGACCAGGGAGGGTTTCAACCCTCCTTCCTGTCCTATCCAGTTGTACTGAGACTTCTTTGTGTCTGTGGTTTCCTTGTCTGGAAAGTCCCTGGATTTTGATTTCTCACTGTATTCTTGAAGACACTGGGAACCTGTAGCAGGTGACAGATGGGAATAGAAGGAGCTCGATCTGAACACTCAAGTTTCCTTGATCTTCGTTATGTTTTCAGACTGCCAAATCTTTCTGCTGTTTTGAAAACTGGCCTTACAAATATTGCCTGTTCCAAACAAATATTTTTAAAAGTTATACTACCAGCAAAAGTTCCTTATTTTGTGAATTTGTCTGCGTGAGCATCTACCAAGTGCAATAATTTTCATAGCATGTTCTAATCTTTGACTTGTTCTTGTGTCACCAGTTTATTTGATATTTTCTATACATTAACCATAGATTTACTTAAATATATTTGAAAAGAAAGTTTCTTATTATTACAGTCAATGGTATCACATTAATATTACTGTTGCTTCTTGTATAGCTTCTTATTATTACAGTCAATGTGTACCACTGACTGTGATAATAAGAAGCTAAACGGTAACACAAAAGAAATCATAAGAATCATAAGAAACTTTATGTAATCATAAGAAACTTTCTTTTTCAAATGTAATACCATTTACTATAATAATAATATGCATATGATACATATTAAAATAAATACAATGAATGAAGCAAACACTAATAAGGTTTAAGTCTCTGTAAAAAGGGAGCCCAGCAAGTGCTAACACAGTGGTAAATGCTTGTTAATATCAAGAAGGGACATTCTTCTTGACATCACCAGAAGGACAGGAATAGAATGGAAAAAGGAGATAACTGTACTGTGTAGCCAGCGAAATGTTTTCTAGGGCTCTCTCCAAGAACTGCCCCAAATTGTTTTGAACTTTTTGTACATTTGCAAATAGGGCTCCAGGTGCAGGCTGCATGTGAGCAGTGATTGACACGTGCAGTTCATGTAGAGAGAGTCCAGGTTCTGGTCACCGGTTAGCATGTGGCTGGTCTGAGGAAGTATGCTACATGGCGACTGGTACATGGCGACTGTAGAGTCAGGTCCAAGTTCAGAGTTTCAACTGTGTGACCTGGTTTTAGTAATCACTCCTCTCTGAGCTGATTATTAGCCTGTTAGTGGTCATGCGTTGTTTCAGGAATAAATCCCCAGCTCATTCAGGGGAAAGCCATGCAGAAACAGAGTGAGATGCTGGCTGGGTCCAGCCCACACAGTCCTCCTGGGCCTTACAAGAATACCCCGTTTACATGGGGCTAGAGAGTCTGGAAGTTGTGTTGTACGGGTGGGGACTCGAGTAGTGTCTATAATTAAATGCTTGTTAATATCAGGTTTCTATAGACTCTTCTAGAAACCAGAGTATATGAAGTAGAACAGAAAGAAAAATTTCAAGAAATCAGCCCCAGAAGCAGAATTCACCTGTGGAAATTAGAACTGTAGGTGAAACCATCACCTCCAGGGCCGGGGCAGCTGGTGGCTGGTGGCTCAGTCCAGCTCAGCTGCTGTTGAGTTGTCTGGGAAGAGAGGGCCAAGGATGGATCTTCTACATGGTGTCACTCTGGGGCCTGAGTGGCTGCAGGGGGCTTTCCCCAGAGCTGAGCGGGAGCTGGGGGTGTGCTTTCTTCCTGCTACCTTGCAAATGGCAGGTGAACTGCTGGCTGGCTGCTGAGGCCCCACAGGGGTGATGGGGGTGGGGGAGAGTTGTCATGCATCTTTTCCTTGGTGTCTCTGATGGCAGTGGTGTGGCTGGGGGCAGAGACATATGGCAGCCCAGACTGACTCACAGTCATCTGTCTTGGATTCCTGCACAGGATGTGGGGCATGATTTATTTATGAATCCTGAAGACTGCTGGTGTTTGTACATATGAAGCACTTAGCATAGTGAGTGCTTGCACATAGTATGGATTCAACTAATGGTAGCAATTGTTATGAATGCTGGGAAGAAGTGACATCAGCTAGGTTTGTTACACTTCCTTAATACTTTTCTTGATTAATTCTATGTTGTTTTGGAAAGTCCTAAAGTCTGCTCAGGCCAGAAGTATGTTTGCTCCTGGAATCCTCATGAACAGATATTTTTTAACACTGCTTCAGGTTCTAGTTGGCATGGGGTAGGGAAGGATGTGGGTCTCAGTTACAATCTTGGTGACTCACTCTTTATAGTACAATGGCACATTGACCCGTATAAATAAAAAATGCCAGGTCACACTAACCGGAGCCCAATGTGGCAGTGTTTGGAGATCTTTACTGTGTATATTTTGGGCTGCCTTAATGAGCCCACCCAGCTGTAAACTTGAGCAGTGTGTTTTATGACATTGTCCAAATCACTGAACAAAAGAAAAAAAAGTCAACAGGATTAAGAGCAGATTCCAGAGAGCTCCGTGCTGCGTTGTTTTCCTCCTTAATGGACCCCCTTCAGGGGCTTGCACCCCTGCACTGGATTAGCATACTTTAGATACCACTGGAGAGAACGGAGGAAGATAGTCTTCTATTAACAAAGGTAATGATGGCAACCCACGCTCTTGGGCTAGGTGTCAATTAACTGTGGGTTCCGTGCTTCCCGTGTGCTCCAGGTCAGCAGTCAAGGTGGATGCAGACTGCCCTTCACCTCCAGGCTCTGTTCCAGCATCTAGAAGCTTTTGCTCCCACCCTAGCGTCTTCCTTCCCTGTTGAGGTCTCAGCTGCTTCTCTGCTTCTCCTGAAAGCTGACTCAGGCACCACTGCACCCCTATGGAGCTGGGTCTCTGAGCCAAGCCTGGATCTCCTGTTCTGCCTCTATTTGTCCCAGAGTGGCTTCCACGTTCAGTCCACGGTAACAAATGAAGGTCTGGGCGACGTCCTCTCCCCTTTCTCTGACAGGTCAGAGGAAGCCTATGGGGTGGGGGAGTCAGGAGAGCAGATTTCTATTCGTTATTTCCACTGCCAGTGAGCGCATGGAGGTGGGTAACCTCCGAAGAGGAGGAGAGAGGAGAGACGCTGTGCTAAGGAGACTCACTGTGCTAAGTTCTTTATATGTACAAAATAAACTTCAGCAGTCTTCAGGATTCTGCACTATGACTGGGTTTGGAAGGGAACTGCTGAGACAGGAAGAAGAACTGGACGACAAGGAAGCAGCTCTCTGCAGTGTAAGCGAGAGAACAGAATGATTCCAGGTGAGGTCCAGGCTTTTAGATTGAGGGCATTTTTCAGGTCCTGGACCTCTCGGGGTGGACAAGAAGCACAGTGTAAGACTGATATTCAGGTGTCACAACAGAATCACTGTCAGTCTCCTTCAATGAACTGGCATCTGGCTATTGCCTGGGGAATCTATAGACAGCCCAGCTTCATTAGCAATAATAAAAGTTGCACTGTGCAATCTACAGGATCCTGCTTAGACCCGTATGCTGCTAAGAAAGAGAAGCTAAATGGCGCATAACCTATGACCATGAACTTGAATGACAAGGACTCCTCTTCTTTGAAAGTGCATTCAGTTCTTAAAAGGAAGTTTCTTTAAAATACATTCGCGTGGTGGCACTAAGGTCAGCAGATCCTGCTGCTGGTGGGTCTCCTCTAAGCATCCTTTCCATCATGTGACAGCTGTTCTGGGTCTGCTTGTTTCAAAGTGGGCTTGAGACTCTTCCTATAAAACCCAAAGTGTTCAGCCCTCCACGTAGGTGCTCCTGTGCCTCCCCAGCCACACACCCAGGCTTCCTAACCAGAATCCCCCAGGAAGGTTTACCGGTCTGCTTGAACACCTAGCCCAGGTGACTCAGAGCAGCGCCTGGGATCTCTAAGCTTACTTCAACCTGCACTGACTGCGCCCTTTGCCAGGCCCCAAGCTTTTGTACCCTGTTCACTGCAGTTTACCCTGGACTGCAAACTTCCCTGGGTGGAATGGAGCTATGCTCACAGAATCCCAGTCCCTTGGCCTCCCAGTGATTACGAGAGGTAGCTGACACTGATAGGGTCTGTGGTGGAGGAGTCCGAGGCCCTAGGAGGTCAGCCATCTGCCACTTTCAAGCAGCCAGGGGCCTGGGACTGAGATTCGAAAGTGTATCTGGGTGATTTTAGGACCCACATTACTGTTCCACTCCAGTATATGCCCCCCAGGAGAAGGCAGGGGAGGGCTATTTTGAAGATATTCCAGACACTAATTACATGTGCAGATGTACACACAAATGTGTGTTTATCATGCTCCTCCAAATACATTGCACATCTGAGTGACAGAGAGCCATCCATTCCTATGGTCACTATGCACTGAGGGTGGGAAGCCACATGGTCTCAGGTGCTGTGTGTGTACAGTTTCTGGTTTCTTATTACCACATTGCAAGATAAACTAAGTTCTCATTTTACAAATAAGAAAACAGGAGCTCAGGTCAAGTAATTTTTCCCAGGGCTGCACGGTCCATTTTTTTTCTGATTTGCTACATATAAGAGGTTCATAGGCTGGGGCTGTAGCTCATTGGCAGAGTGCTTGCCTAGTATGTGTGAGGCACTGGGTTTGATCCCTAGCACTGCATAAAACACTAAACAAATAAAGGCATGCTGTCCATCTTCAACTATAATTTTTTTTTTAAAAAGAATTTCATGATTATTTATCTCAACCCTTTCATTCAACAGATGAGGAAAAGGAAAGCCAAAAAGTTTAAATAACTTGTAAGACCAGCCAGCTAGTGACAGCTCAGTTGACCCAGAGCAATCATGGGCATATTTAGTCCAGGTCACTGGATATTAAACAGTTTTCTTGAAAGTACAATTTAATTTAAAATTAATTTCATCAAAGCTATTTTTTTAAAAAATTTATATTAAGTACTTCTTCAGCAATCAGGACCACAAAATCAAAATGACTAATACTTTCATCCCTACAGCCTGTTCTGGGGAGAAAAAAAATCTATTTCTGAAGTTCATGGCCACAGACTTGGAAACATATTTAAAAGCTTCTCAATTAAAAGCAAGAGAAGGAAGAGGGTAGGGTTGGCTATTAGTGAAAATGTGCAAGTTGTCTAGAGTTTTCCTTCGTGTTTTTCGAGATCTGCACAAGGCTGATTTTATCATGATGGCATTTCTAATTTAAAGAAGAGAAAGCAAAGGCCCTGGGTCTGATCCCTACAGGAATGGCCCTGTCCCACAGGAACAGGGCTCTGGGAGGGCCAGCGGCTTTTCTCACTGCAACTGTCTTCGCCTCACCCTCCGTACCAGCTGGCACAAAAGCCCGGGCACAGGGGGGCATCTGAAAGGCTGTAGATAAGTGAAACTTCCCTCTTTTCCTCCCTTACAGAACATTTCCATCTGACTGGGTCAGAGAGGGAAGTCAGGATAGCAGTGATTTGGTTTTAATTCCTCTTAAGTTCACGAGGTTTAATAATCCACTGAATAAAGGTGCCAAAGGCAGCCAGCATGATAAGGTCCTTGGCTGGGAGATGAATTCATGTTGTCCTGAGGATGGCTTCCCGTGGGGAGACTGGTCGAGAAGGTACGCAGAGGGAGCTTAGCGGCTTCCCCATTGGGCATCACAGGATGGAGCTGTTGGCAGGTGGAGTTTCACCCTCCTGTGACATTGCGACAGGCACAGACAGCGGCTGCCCTTAGCTGCTTCTGTGGCAGGCAGACTTGGGTTTGGCTGCAGCATGTCCTCTTGATTTATTTCTAAGATGTGGGTGCTGCTCTAATTTGCATTTCACAAGTAAGGGAAGCCGGAGAGGTGAACTGGCGCTCAAAGCCAGGTCTGTCCAAACGCATGACTCTTGGTCCTCGGTCCATCACCTGCGGCGTCTGCTGTCCAGCATGTGTGGTCTGTTGCGCCACCAAGTGTGCTGCTCGGGCTCACACGCAGGGACAGCCTTGCCCTGGCACGACTGCAGCCCCCGCTGCTAAAGCCGAGCCGAGTTCCCCTGGTGGCTTCTGTCAGTGACGGAGTACGGTGGCACACTGAGCCATCTGGCTAGGGTGGACTCTCCATGTGGGCAGTGAGACTGTCGGATTCCTTGGTTGGGCCAAGATGCACCACCCTCCGTCCAGCCCTCTCTCTCCTTCCTTCTCATCCACCGCAGGTGTCAGCCCTCACCTGGGCTCAGCGCTCTCCAGCTCCCCTGCACCCTCCGCGAGCCATCACAGGCAATTTCCTTTAAGAAACCTCTAGGATGTTACTTCTGCCTTGGTGTGTGCTTCTTGAAGGGCCAGTACTTAATATAATTGCCATTATTATATAACACTTTCCTTTAATTGTTCCTTTTAAAACTAAATACATTTATTCTTGCCCTGAGCAAAAATGCATGTTAAATCCCAAGTTTAATCTGCTACCTTTATTTCCCCCATACACGTGTGTGTATGTACACATATACACATAGGTACACATGTACACACAGATATGAATGGATAGATGATAATTATTTAATTAAATGTACAAACATGGGTCACTGAGGTCATCTCTCTCGTCCCTAATATATGCATTTAACACATCAGAAATTGTTCCCTACATTATGTTGCTAGTAAAAGACTTTTAAAAATAAGTAATGGTGATTAGGGAGAAAGAAGGATGGGAACAGAAGGTCAGTTGACCTCTTCCAAGGTTTCCACGAATTATTGGACTCTGTGTTCTGAGAAGAACCTGGAAGGAAGATTTCTGTACAACAGGAAACAGACTGGAAAGACGCTCCGAAGTCCAGCTGGATTCTGGACAATAGGGTGAAACCGACGCCACAGTGACATCTGGATCTGTCATCTGCTCTGCACAGTGTGCCAAGTGGCACAGACGTTTTAACGAAACTGCTAAGTTGGGGTTTCTCGGCTCTATGAATTTCCACCCCCCACCAACTTCTTGCTTATCTTTTGGCCGAATTTAAGCCAGGAAGGAGTGTCCTGGACATGTGTGGCAGCTGGGGCCTGCTGAGCACAGTGAGTCAGGAGTGGCTCTGGGGACTACTCAGCCCCACCCACCACTTCCTGGCAGAGCACATACCTCCCGCACGTTAATTTCAGAAGGGGAAACTATCAGATAGTGGTTTGACTTTTCCTGCCCCAGAAAACAGTCTGCGCTTGCCCTGGTGGTGACCTGGTGGACACACTGGCTTTCTCAAAGGAGAGTGGCTCCTGATGACTGACTCTAGCTGAATGGGAAGGGATGACACGGAGGCCATTTATCCACCAGGACAGGCAGGATAACTCGACATCCCAGAAGGTTCACAAAACCATGGAAGACCACAACCCTTTCTCAGGAAGCCAAGTCATTCAAAGAATGAGAAATTCTACTTGTTCATTTCAGTTTCTTTCCCACGAAACACCTGTTCATAAACACGATAGGCATTTCATTCTTCCTGGGAGTACAGCAGGGTCCTTGGTTCAATGGCAAGTGGAGTCGCATTGGAGAGGAAAGCAGAAGGGAGGAGGAGGAGGAGGAGGAGGAGGAGGAGG